GGCAATCCAGATCTGTTTAAGTGCCTCCGAGACTGCCTTTCCATGGTCTGATTTTTTTTTTAAACCAATAAGACACCTGTTGTCATGTGAAGTAATGTCATACTAAGTTTTCAGTAGAAATTTCAGCATGCTATATCACCAAGTGTTCTTCTGTATATGTATACAGCCCTTAGACTGCTTAGTGGGAAGAATTTGAGCATTCTTTAACGTGTAGCATTAATAAAGGATAGCAAGTGTATCCAGCATGCACCTATTCTGAGTTGGCTGGAAAGAGTTTAGGTGTTACATAGCTAAGATTACATTGTTTCACACAGATATTACTTGTGTCATACCCCAGATACTTGCCATGAGCCTGCAAGCACAGATTTTGTAGCCCTTGGAGCTACCCTGAGTATCTGAGCTTTACTGAATTGGCTAATTTAGACTTGTACAAGAAGCTCAACATTTACACTAAAATGTATTACCTAGTACCTTCTTAGGATAGAATAGTTCTTTCTTTCCATAATCGTTCTGACCATTACAGGAAGGGCTTAAAAACCTACTTAATTTCAGAGGCCTCTTAAAGCCAACCTACTTTGACTCCACCAGACAAATTGTACCCAAGCATTTCAAGCACACTGTGCCTAGCCAGTACCTTCCTGAGCACAGAAACCAGGAATTTATATACATATCCCTTTCCTAATGAAAACCTAGGCTTGGGAGCATGGATGTATTCAGGTTCTTATGTGTTTTTTTAATCATAATTTACATAAGGTGGTAGACTCTTCTGAGTTGGTTTGGAGGTATCCCCCTGCTTGGCTTTGGATTTGCTATTCCTTATTCTTATCCATTTCTCTTGAGTCTCTGTCTTACCTGTTCACTCTTCATTTCCCAAGCTCCCATCCCACACCTGCTCCTCTTAGCCACCTTGTCTCCTATCCTAAGTGAGTCAGTTCAGTGCAACCTCCTCTGAAAAGTGTCATGAAGCCTCACTTCCCACCTATGTCAGATGTCTTTCTTTGAAACATGTCATAAAAATGCAAAGCTAAGCAAAATCACTTCTTAGACAAAATGTGATGTCTATAAAATCTGTCATGAGGGAACCTGCCATGACTATCTGTCAAGAGCCATTTGGACCTCCATGAGAACTGAGACACTTTTAGTCATTTTACTTATAGCTATTGCAAATACTGGTTTGCCTTAATTCGGGCAAAGGATCAACAAAAATATTGGACTCAATAGAAACTGTATGGCATACACGGCATGAAGATATTGCCATTATAACTTTGGATTGGGTCTTGTGGGACTTGCAGAGTTGACAGTTTGGCATTAGAGAAGATATTTAAATGGGGCAAATTTATAATTAATCTATTAACTGTAGTATTTTTGCACATATGTGCCATGAGCTCATTTACAAAATACCAAACACCCATCTGCAGATTCTGTGGCACATAAGTGGCCTTTAATTATAGGAAAGTATATATGGGATACTAGAGTTTCATATCCTGCTTCATCCAAGTCTGTAGTTAGTGGGGAATTTTCTTATAATGTGACTATATTGTTTTAAGTTTGGAATCTGATTAATGAGCATGAGATCTGGAAACAGAAACCCTGCTGTGCTCGAGGAATATAATAAAGTTGTCACTGTTTAAAAATCATTCAAGTCACAAGTTGCTTTTTCCTTTGAAGATTTTTTACTCTGTATCCCAAAGGCATACAATGAGAAAATGAACTCTGTTTAATGGCAGCAAATAAAACTTCATAGAAAAAGACTGTAAATTATGACGATGAAGATTTTTGAATTTGGCACCTATGTCAAGAGTCAAAGGGACATAATGTCAACAGAAAATTCAGAGACCTGAAGACAATTTGACAGGGACATCATGACATGATGAGCAGGCTGTAAAACATGGCTAGAAATGTGCAAAATAAAATGAACCACTATTGGGAAATTTATCAAACTTTATTTAAGCCCAGAGTGACCAAAACATCACAGTAAATAGTTACTGATTTATTAAAAGAAAAAACTATGCTCTTTTTTGCTCCAGGGATTGACAACATGAATTATAAGGGCCGGTACTCTTTTTCTGTTATCTAAACTTTGCCGTACCTACCCTGCCCATGTCATCAAAACCAATCTTGTCTATCTACTTCAGTCCATCATCTGCCCTTCCTGTTGTATAATACATGACTGTTGATTGTTAGTATTCTTTAGATAAAGTTAATTTTTCAAAAGTTGAATTCACTATGATCTAAATTAAAATCACCGTGCTACTTACTGGCAAAGTAGGACTTCAGAATTGTTAAAGAATGATTTAAAAATTAATTCTAGGGTTTTAATTTTAGGCTGATAAATTTTGGTTTTGATTTTGGTTTTGCTTTTCTTAAGTCATTATATTACATTTTCTAAAAACCAGACATTACTTGGAGGTAAATTTTCAAGGAATTCTTTAAATTACACAAACTTAAAACCTATGGAAATGAAAATTGTAAATATGGCACCTCTGCAATGTTGAAAAAATGGACCCCTTTTCTTAGGCTCTAGAGTTAGTTTAGGTGTTGAATTGAAAAATGTCCTTTTGCTTGTTTCCCAACAGTCAGAACCCTGCATCCGCTATGTCAAGACTGTGTGTCTTAATTAACCCTATTCTTACTGAACCACAGAGAAGTATGATCCAAGCGGATCACATTTTAAGCCCTCATATTGCTTTAATGGGATTACATAAATTCAGTAACGTGAATATTTCCATAAAAATTAGTCTTAAAATATATTTTGTGGAAAATATTCAGACCACTTTAATTTTCTATTTTGCATCATTATGTCTTTGTTTTCCAAATCTATGATGCTCATGCACAAACCATTAGCATCCATTTGAACAGTAAAGCTGCTGGTTGTCACATCACCTGGTTTAGATACAGATCTCTAGCTCCCTGTGATGGTGTTTACCTTTTGCCTCGTTTTTGCTATGTCTGTGTGTTTGCCCGGCTGTAGGTAAGAAATCTAAGCCTTGCTTCAGTTTGCGCTCTCACCCTGGCTTCTCTGTTGTAAATGCTGCTCATTGGCTCCCTGTGCTCTGCTGCTGTATTGCAATGTAAAAAGTCTTTTGTCTCTTCTGTCTTTGTCGCTGCCAGCTGCTAATCTGAATGAGGTGGAAAAAGGTTAGTTGCCTTTTAAGTCTACTATGATTTTCATTTTAGTTTCCCTCTTTCTTTTAAAGCTACATAGATTTCGTTGTGTGTACATGGTAAAAGGAATGTTGACAAAATATGAGATCTGAAAGCAATATATCAATCAGTCATTTGCATCCTTGATATACATATACCTGTGCCAAACACTATAAAGTGGGCTTCTGAAATGCACTTTATCAATTTCTAGAAGGCTATGATAGTAACTCTCTGA